GTTCAGGCGAGAATAAATAATGAAAATGCACTGAAAATTGTTTCGGCGAACAATTTTGTCCGCTGCTGTCTATGAAATACCTAGGTTGTAAATCTTCTTGAATCATTGATACGAATTTTGGCCGTAAAGCAGTATATTCTCTGGAGTGCTCATAAATCTGTGGTTTTGTTCTCACATGCCGAATGTCAATTCCGACCACCTTCTAATGGTCAAAATTGCTTTATTTCGCCGATTTCTCTATTTTCACGCGTTTTTCATGATGCTAGTGATTGATGCTGTTCTTCGTCCACACCGCGTTCATTTTTCTCCCGTTTTCGTCCATTTTTAGATAATCTGGTTTTAAACTGTTGTATTTTCAGTCGCTCAACGTTCCTTCACAGGTCGTTGCGATGCTCAGCGATTAATTGTGTGCGTCGAGCGCTGCACAGTCTCCTTCTGGATACAATCAAAGCGCAACATCTCGTCCATCAGTGTCTCACATAGTCACGAATACTTCACATACACACAAACGACATCACAGGATGGCCATCGACGACGACGACAGTACACTAACTGAGCTGTTCCTCCTGAGCACGCGATATCAACAGGAAGAACTGGTGAGTTCAGTTTTGGGGGAATCATTCGTGGACGCGATCGATCAACAAGTCTGGGCGAATCAGATATGTTCACTCACAAGTCGAGCCTTTTTGCTCAAGAGCCCGCTAGAATTTTTTTTATGATTATACCGATTTCACATTCTAGCCCATATATAAAGTTCGATTGGGTCTTATTCCAGGTAGGGGGGGGCATCATGGTGCGGTGACTCCCAAAAAGCTACGGTAACTCTGAGCCAGGGGGAGTGTAGCCAGCCTAGGGGGGCGGGGGGGGAGGGTGACGGGCAAGTCACTTGACATGCGTGAGAAGCTGGAATGTTCGAGTTTACATTAGCTCGCCGAGAAACTGCATCATGATGCCCCCCCCCCTAACTGGAATAGACCCCTCGAATTTATTAGTTTATTAGGGTTTGGGGTCTCGAGAAGGGGGCATTTGAGGCAACAGTTGCTGTCTCCTACAGGAATTCCAATCTTGCAGTTCAGGGAAATTCCCAGGGTTTATCGATCATTTCGTTTCTGCTTGTACACCCATCCCTTATTATTCCTGTCTGTTCTTGCTTCCTCTGTGAAATTCTGTCCTCTGTGAAATTACGGAACTTGTTCTATTTCTGCAGAGCGAAAATATTTCAACACATGAAGAATGAAAAAATGGCGCTATCGCAAGATACGGGTGCATTTCAACGACAATGCATCAGAAATCACGTGAAATATCTGCTTTTTGTTGAAATCGGGACTAAGCTTTCGGTGGGAGATCGGAAAGTCCAGGGTGCGTGAGCAGTTTTCATTTTTTCCTAAGTTTCTATCACCTCCTAGCTTAGTCCCAAAGGGGTCCTAAAAGTTCCCGTATATTGCGATAGCGCCAAAAAATAAAATGAAAATGGGAAAATGAAAAATGAATGTGAACTACTTTTTCAATTTGCAGTTATATTGCTTTGTTTAGTCTAGCATTGAACTCATTGTTTAGATGGAGAAATTAATTCTCGAACCTAATCTTATTTGTTTATTTACCTGTTGATTTGCTTGTTTAATCTATTTCTTGATTCTTA